TAGGCCATCGATTTGTCCCCGGGCGAAGCCGGATATCCTGCTAGTGGTATGCTATGTTTTATGTGTTATTATTCGAGGTACTTGTGAGAAATTTTTCTTCGCCTTTTAAGGAATTTGAACTTCTGCATTATCGTATACATTGATTAAACAAATTTTATAAACCAAATCGTCTATATCTTGCCCTACAGAAATATCGTAGTGGAGTGGTTGTAGCCTTTCTCTATTACCCGTGATTAATTAAGGACTATAGATCACACACCAATAGTCCAGTGGCTGGGGGGTGGGGGATGGAATCGCCACCGGAGCTGTGAATTTATGAGACCAAGTTTTTCTAGACCAGTTTTTTGCGTAGATTCCGCATCTGTGTGGTGATCAGGCGTTTCAGGGGGCGTTTTCGAGATATGGGGGGTTCAATGTCTACAATTGGGGGAAATGTCATTATGTTGATATAAATAATGATCATGATATATATTAATAAAACATAAATTTCTAGGACTGTCCATCTCTAAAGAAGTGTATATGATGCCCCTGGACAACTGTTTTGATGTGTGGGGAGGTGGGGTAGGGGTAACAGGTTTGCGTGTGTGGGGGAGGGTGGTAAAACTGGCGGGAAATGAGATTACGTTGATTTAAATGATGATTTTCTTAGAGCTTGGTAAAAACAATTACTTTTTAATTCCCCTGCACATCTCTAAATGTGTGTGTAAGATTCCCATTGTATGGGACAAAATGTAATTTGGGGGACAGAAACCATTCAGTTCAAAATTGACCTGAAAAGTGTTTTCTCGTTAGCTTTTTCGTTCAATCTGATTAAAACACAGATGCTATTTCGTTTCGTTTTACTTGTCTTCACAACACTAGGATCGGGAGGAGTTGTTATATAACAGGCGGTCTAGTTGATGTGAGGAATTAGCCAATGAAACGGTCTGTTACGGCGAGTTCTTGGCGTGCCCTGCACGGAACTGTGGGTAAACCCCTAGAAACGCCAACGCTGATTGATTAATCAATGTCTGACGTCATAAAGTCAAAAGCCGCTCATATGACCTCCCAGTAAAACTGGTCAGATCTTCATGTAGTGCAGGCCATCGAAAGTATAAAAAAACACGAAACGAATTATACATCTGTAATTTAATCAGATTGCTTTTTCGTTCCGTACCAATTTCATCATCACAAATAATAAAATTAAATTACAGTGGTACTTTTCAAGAGATCTGGAAATGTTCTTAGTCTTCATCAGAAGATTCAAAATCAAAGTTCATAATATGAGCGGGATAGATATCTTCTTGATGACTAATCAAAACAGCTCGCGTATATCCTTTGGGTATGCTTCAGATATCCGTTTACATTGTAAATCTTCATTCCAGCTTACCTACTCCTCTTCGCATTGCAAATTAATGGAAGCGCTGAAACAAATTGTATTTAGCTTTCTTTCTCGGGCGAAAAAGACATCCAATCATTCTCCTCACAATGATCCAAATATATACACTTTGATCGATAATGAGACGGGCAAAGGAAGAAAGTATCGCGGTTACATTTTCTGGGTGAAAAAATAACAGACCTTTCTTTATTACCACCTTGCCGTAGTGGTCTTTTGCTGCATAGCGGGAATGAAGATTTACAATGTGAATTGGTATCTGAAGCATATCCAAAGGATATATCCAAAATATATTTATCCCGCTCATATTATGAACTTTGATTTTGAATTTTCCGATAAAGAGATTTTGAATTTTCCGATGAAGACTAAGAATAAACTAATATCTAAATATGTCTCTGATTTACTCTGTTTTTCTATGGACATTTCCAGATCTCTTGAAAAGAAACACCATAATTTAACATATTGAATGACGAAATAGGTAATTAACGAAAAAGCTAACGAGAAACCACTTTTAAAGTCAATTTTGAACCAAATGGTTTCTGTCCATCCCCGCGGGCACCCACCCCGACGTCCACCCCCACACAATGGGAATATTATAATCGTATTTAGAGATGTTTCATCAAGCTCTAGGAAAATCATCGACGTGAACTCATTTCTCGCAAATGTTACCCACCTCCCCCTCCACACACGCACACATGCAACTACCCACCTCACCTCGCCACAAATCAAAACAGTTGTCCAGGGGAATAATAATTTATAGATGGACAGTCCTTGCAATTTATGTTTTATTAATAATTATATAACATGATCATCATTTATGTCAACATAATCACATTTTCCCCCAATTTTAGACATTGGACCCCTTCCCCCACCCCATATCTCGAAAACGCCCCCTCAAACGCCTGATCACCACCCAGACCCGGAAACTACGCAAAAAACAGGTCTAGAAAAACATGGTTTCACAAATTCACAGCTCGGGTGGCGATTCCCCCCTCCCCCTTTCAGCCACCGGACTACAATTAAAATTAACGGAAAGGCCCAAAAGACATTTAGTTGTATAACCTTTATTAACCAAAATGTCATATCTCGCCCGTTCTTATGCATGCATGCATTCAGTTTGGATTAGCAGGCCGTCATGCCTTTCCCCGGTAGAAGCGGAGCGATAATGGGGCCTAGTTGATAGAAAATTAAATACTTATTAATATTAAATGGTTAGAGCATCACCTCTCCAGACATCAGCTGGAAAAACACAACCATATAAAAACCATCAAATCGCGGAAGTTGTAAATCGACAGAGAACATTTAAATCAAGTAAATTGAACCGGGACTGATCGACAACATAGCATGGTACATTTCATGAATGTATGCCTTAATCTCCTGGAAGATTTTAATCAATTTAAGTTTACAAAATAGAACAACGGTGACTTAAAGGAGCTACATCGCTAATATTTGGACAAAAATGGGTCGCAACGCATATAATAATGTAATATGAATGTATATAAACTGATTTACATTCAATCATTTCTGTTTTTACTGTAATTTCTAATCTGTTCGTCGAAATACGCCAGAAGTCTCATGTGAATCGCAATCTTTAGCGTCTGGTTTTTCCAGTCTACACCGATGGTATTTATTTGACATGACTTGTGGACTATGTCTAGCCATATTCTCTGAGTCCCTGGTTTCAAATGGCGCTGAAACGCATTATGGTACACGATTCGTGTACCAATGGTAAAATGTTTATTTTGTTTTGAATATTGGATATCAGAAGCCCATCTGTTCCCTGTAAGATCACAAGACATATGTTGATTTGAATTGACAAATAATTCGTGTTTTCAATGTCGAAGATTTTTGATGATATTGAGTTAGAGACTTAGCTACTTTAAAGAAATGATGCGTAATTTAAATTTTTAGCTGAAATATCAAATTTCCAACGGGCCTAATCCCCTCTAATATGCGGCGACGGGCTTCTTATATACCGAGTAACATAGATCGATGACATTATCGATGACATTTCAAGTCAACAGGTCTTTACAAATCCTGAACGGAATTGAACCATCATTGGAACGACATTCCTATTAGAGAATCATTGTTCACAAAGGTGTAGTTTGCAAGGGATTATATAGTTAACAGTCGTTTACATTTTTATTTAAAAGTATGCACAGGTTAAAGAGGGGTTAGCGAAATTAGAGATATATATGCCCATGCTTGGTTGAAATGTAGACGATCTATCGAGATGTATATATTTTATCGTCGTTTTTGGAGGGTTGACAAACGCTCTTTAAAAGTGGTTGTATTTACGATAATGTGATTTTAGGATTATCTGGAAGACGATACTATTCTAAATATAGCCATTTCCTTTAGTGGGTAAAAATACAAATGTGAACGATATAACTCATAAATTGTTCGTTTTGAGAACATTGTCATAAAAAGTCTGAAATTTTTAAATTAATATGATTTTAAAACGGATATATTTCAAGGTCCCAAACAATTTCTGAAAATCAATATTAAACGGATTTATTTAAAAGGTTGGAGCAGGAAATTACACTTCCAAATATGTACACTATACCGAAGACGGTGGAACAGTTTACAAAATCAAATTAGATCGCATGCAAAATTTGAGTTTTATCGGTACATACATTCCGGAGACCAATATTTTGATTCAACCTTCTGTTCGTGGAATTCCAACTGTAAATGAAATGAAACAGGGTTTAACTTCCTACTTTTATACACCGACTGGCTAATGAACATGGGCATACATCATACGGTGTGACATGAGGGATATTTTGCCCGGATAGTGGCACTACTGTCTAGTCTTATTTCGAATTCCAACTGCCAAGGGTTATTTTGCATTGACGCCTATGTGTATACGGCATCTCGTGTGTGCCATCTAAAGGACTATACACTGTCCTTGCCAGACCCTCCGTCCTACACTACTGACAAAGGGGAACCACGCCGGAAAATCTTAAAAAAACTTTCTCGACCAACACCGGTAACCAACCCTAGATCTCCTAGTTAGCGAGTCGCACTGAGCCACAGCAGGTCAGATTCCAACTTTAAAGTATTTTTAGATGCACTGCTTATAACTTGACGGTGCTTCGAGTTCCAAACGAATTGACGTGGCTGATAGGGATACGACTAAGAGGTTGAAGCCGAGATGCTTTGTGATTAGGCAGATGCGCGTACAGATTCATATATGCTAATAGAGCTCGCAGTGACATTATTGTCTTTAGATATGTCGCCCACATATTACGGACCAATGAAATTACTTTCCGATTAGAGATCGGTTCGTTTCAAACCATTAAGTATAAATATCGTTATATATATTAACAAGTGTCTGAACAATAAGGGAGCGCAGGCTATGATCAAAAGGTTTGGCTCCTTTTATAGACATATCCTCTAGGGGGGTTGCAAGCACGTATAAAACAAAACACATCGATCCAAATCACGAGCCACATTGAGCGTACACGATTTGCAATTCAAGACTCCCGCACATATTCACGTGGAACAAAAATATATGCTTAATATTAATGTCGTTATTTTACGATGCGATGATTCGCTGGATTGATTATCTCTACGTAACGAGTACTTAAAAGACGAAGCTGTCGCGTGTGGGGGAAAAGGGAGTATAAAACCTAGCGGAATGAGTTATTACTTTATTTTAACTTGATCTTAGACCCGATACCATCCACTGGCTAATACTTAGTTCACGCTCAATTTACCAAGAACACTCAAATAACACGAAGGTAAGTTATCGATTTCACATATTTCCAAATGATATAGACATTTTAAATAACTATTAGTTTTACATAACTTTTAATTTGAAGTGATGCTTTGTGAGCAATAGACCTGGACACTTTCTTTTTTAACTTTTTGTTAAAAAATTACTTTGGCTGTATGGATTATTACCAATGTATATTAAAACATTAATAAATATACTACGAAATTGTAACTTTGATAGTTGAATCTTCATAATGGTTTGTGCGTTTCTTTAGCAATTCCATCTTATTTTTTTTTTATTAACAATTTTGTTTTAACTAGTAATAATTGCTATATATCGTTGAGTTGTAAAGATAATGACCGTGTTAAGATTCCATCTCAATGTGCTTTGAACTATTCTATCTTTTTATGAAGCACATACATTTCATGGATACTTAGCAATTCGGTTACGATCGACGGTACTCATACATTTCGTGTTATTATAAGATAACGCTATGTAATTTGTGAGTGTATGTTTAACCACCTGAAGAAATTAACGTACTTGACCCTTACTTATCACCTGCGATGATCAATGATATGACGATATTGTAGAATTTTATCCAACGGGCATTTTAACAAAGAACATGAGTGTATCAGTTGCTTTCGCTATCTATATCAAATAAAATGAACATAGCAAATAATTGACTTTGTCGTCTTCTTTATATCCATACCGGCTTCTTTATATCCATATATTGTATATGTATTTAAATATTTATCTTATTGAATGGTTATACATGCACTCGTCTAAATTGATTTTTAAACACACCTTTTTGATTATTTAAATACATACCGTTCAATAAAATATTACTAGATATGTGAAATGAAATGAAATTTAAATTTTCTACAGTGTGCTATGAGGGAAATTCGGCGTACTTTTATATCGAATTCCAACTGTGAATGTGTACAAGAGAACACTCTTACTATCATAAACATTTTACAATTCGCACAGACAGAAATTTGCTCAAGAAAATATTTTTTGAAGAAATTTAGTAGAACAAATTTGATGAGCTTTTGGAATATTGGGGATGAGGAAGGGCAATTAGAAATATTCCAAGACGTAACCTACTGGAGAATGGACCTTTAGTTATAACATTTGTTATAATTTTCTCGACGGCCTGGGCAGCGGCTAGTCTTATTTCGAATTTCAACCGGCAATGGTTGTTTACGTGGATGTGTCCCATCTCTGCCAAGCACTCCGTCCTACACCATCGACGAGGGGGAACCACGCCGGAAAATCCGGATGAACGTTCTGGGTTAAAACCGAGATCGAACACGGGATCTCCGGGCTGGCGAGCTTACTCAATAATATAGTCTACACTAACGATTCAATTAGGGGGGCTAAGTGGGTTAGACGCTGACTCGCTCGCCTGGAGGTCGGGTGTTCGATCCCTGCATTGGCCGAGAAAGTTCATCCAGATTTTTCGGTCTGGTTCCCACTTGTCAGTGATGTGGAACTGAGGGCCTGACAAGGACAGCTGTCTAGTCGTTCGGATGGGACGAAAAAACGAGGTCCCGTGTACACATTGGCCTGCATGCAAAAGATCCCTTGACAGTTGGAATTCGATAGTGCCGCTGTCCGAACAAAATTTCCCTCATAGCACACTGTATGGCGTATGCCTGTTTTCATTATCCTGGTAGAAGCAGAACAGTAGAACGTTAAACCCCATTTCATTTCGATTAAATAAGTATATATTGATAACCTGCAATAAAGAAACTATGTTTTGAATGCATGCGTACGTCAGTTATAAAAAAGGCACATTTTACTTATCATCAATTTGTGATCATGTAAATTATTTCTTATAATTATACTTTGTTAACAATTAAGCATTCCGTTTTTAAAATTTGAGTTAAAACAACAAAACGGGTTAACATTTCAACTTATTATCGTGACATTGACATCAATGGATCATTAGTTGTAACAGCCGAGTGCGGGACAATTAGTAACTAAGTAACATGAAAAATAAAAGTAGGTTCTAGTGTAAACTTTGTTCGATAAGTACATGCGTTCTTGAATAATAAAGTTGTATATTTTAAGTTGGTCAACAGTGTAATAAAAACTGGAAGGTTGCCACGAATTTGTTGACTTTGCATTCCTGAAGTTTATTTTCAGGAACGCTTAGACGAAAAGTTCTTTATAGTCTGATGTAATTAGCAGTGGTCGCATTAACGAAGCCAAAAATGATACATTAATAATACATACGTTGAAGAAGCGTGATTTGCGCCAAGAACGTATGAACTAAATATTAACAGCAATTTGTACTAATCATAAGGAATATAGAAATGAAATGAAATGGGGTTTAACGTCCTGCTGTTCTGCTCCGACTGAGCTAATGAAGATGGGCATACGCCAAACAGCGTGCACGAAATAGTTTTTAATTCCCATACGAACTCTTGTCAGGCCCTCTTTTCTGTACTACTGACAAGGGAAAAGCACACCGGAAAATCCGATGAACTCTCTCGGCCAACACCGGGATTGAACCCGTGATCTCCAGGCTAGCGAGCCAGCGCTTTACTCACTTAGCTACCGCGGCTAACGGTACTGTCCCACCTGTGGCACGAAGAGGCAATCCATGGGTAATTCATGACAAGACCCGTCAACAATTCCTATTCAGTCGACAAGAGCTACGAACGTGAACCGTGGTCAAATAGGTGCTCAATCGGGCGTGTCAAGTATCAATAGAAATAAATGAAATGGGGTTTAACGTCCTACTGCTTTGCTCCTATACTGGGCTAATGAAGACGGGCAAAACACCATACAGTGTGCTATGAGGGACATTTTGCCTGGGCAGCAACACTATGGCCTACTATTTTATCGAATTTCAACAGCCAAGGGATCTTTTACGTTCTTTCCATCCGAACAACTAGATAGCTGTCCATGTCAGGCCCTCCGTCCTGCACCACTGACAAGTGGAAACCACGTCGGGAAATCCCGTTGAACTTTCTCGGCCAATGCAGGGATCGAACACGCTGACCTCCAGGCTAGGTAGCCAGCGTCTTATCCACTTAGTCACCGTGGCTCCCCAATACCAATAAGATATTCGAAAGCACTAAATCCAACAAAGAAGCATCGTCAATAAAATTATTTTCGAGGGGAGTGTGGGGGGGGGCTAAAATCTGATGTCACGATTAGCTCAGACAGACAGAATGTCACAGCTAATAGTGGCATAGCATTATCGCAGACAATCCTGAACAGGTATATTTCAGTGAATGAATTATGTGTGGAAGGCTAGTCTGTGATACGTTTTGAAAAATAAATAGCAACATCCAGTTGACAGGTGGAATTAGATCCAGTTGGCAAGTGGAATTAGATTTAATCAACAATGACAACTAAAAATCGCGTGCTTTCAATCCTAATATGGGGTAATTTAACGGGGTCGCTCTTGGAACTCTAGCTGGTCGGTCACTTTTGGGATGCAGCAGTGGATTAGTGCGGGCGTATGTGGCTTGGTAATAGGGCAGCCTGCTTAACGTTTACCCCGAGTACCCAGGCTGCCCCCACAGCACGCGCTGAATATTGATAAATGAGACCATGTCTGTGGTATCACCCTCGGATTCGGAGAAAGCCGACGTTAAGTCCTACTAGGGTTTGTCCCTCCATCTAAAATCGATGACAATGTCTACTCGGCCTAATGATTAACATGGAACATTCGAAAACAGATTCAGACAAAGCTTTATAAGTGTGAATCCAGCTGACATTCAATTTAATCACATGTTATCGAATGATTACTTACAATGATTATTACCTATGTCACGTTAACTGTATTGAATAACAGGAACTTCATGTTACGGAATTAACTATTGTAATTGTAGTTATCACCCATGTAATCTGTTTTTTAAGAGCTTGGGGCAAATGATTCATCGTTGGTTTTCCCCTGCTAAATAAAATGTCTTTGATGCTAACGGCACGGGATCGCGTCTTTATTGACACTAGACAATAAGCTTTAAATTTCCTAAGACTTTAAAAGGCACATATTATTTTACAGTCATATTTATAGCAGCCAAATAACCAGTTACAATTTTCGATGTCACCCAAGACACTACATGTATTTCCATTTTCAACACATATGAACCCATTTTTCGGTCCTTCCAGAAAATCTCGATAAACAGCTATTGGTATCCACATTAGCCAATCCAAAATAATAAGAATTCGTTGTTTCTGTTTAGGCCAATCATGTCATGGGATAACGGAGGTTCCTAGATAGGCGACTGTTGCAGAAATTAAGTTGTGTAGCGGTGGGTTGGTTTTGCCATAGCCGAAGCAGCAAAAAAGCGTCTTTTTGGTCGTTAAAAAATCGAAAGTGTACGTACTGATTTAATGGAACGAAATAAAATGTATTTTGTCTATTTATTTCAGCATATATTACTGCCCTTATCCTCATGTACTACATTTTTTTAAAAGAAGAAATGATCCTTATTTGACTCCCCTCCAATTTCAATAAAGAAGTCGGTATCGATACTTATACATTGCGAAAGGCCGTATTGCAATCGATAGTCATGTTTTTGACAACCCTATCATGTTCGCACCTGGCTCAATTAATGACCTCCCCGCACTCGACTTCTTAATTTGTTGTGGACGAATATTACGAAAGCACGTCTGACTGTACGCTATTTTCGTTAGGCCACAACCATCATTCGTCTGGATTCGGAGTTCAATATATGGAATAAGGAAGCGAAATTTTTCAAAAGTAAAATTAATAAATTAGAAAAACTAAACAATTTGTATACGTCCACATTGGCAGTGATATCCCGTCGGCTAGTCTAACTGTCCATCAAAAATTGCTTGTGTGGGGCATAGAGTCGTTTTCAGCAATCGTGGTGGAAAGCATTTGGGCTATAAGAGGAAGATTCTTATCGATCTTGAGCCTTTTTTTTGTTCCAGTGTCTTTCCTTGACCACAAAAGATTTTGAATGCAATAGAACCTAATGATTGTGGCAATTAGCTGTAATATTAAGGAACCGCTGTCCATTTTACTTTGGGGTTATAGGT